TTAGATATTAGGACAGCTACTCCAGCTTGCTTGTTGGGTCCATTTGCTTGGCAAACCCTTTTCCAGCTCTTTACTCCGAGGTAGTGTCTATCTTTGTTACTGAGGTGCATTTCTTGAATGCAGCAGAATGTTAGATCTTTTTTTCCACAACCATTCTGTTAGTCTGTGTTTTTTTTTATTGGAGAGTTGAGTCCATTGATGTTGATAGATACTAGTAACTAATGAATGTTAGTTCCTTTTATGCATACTTGGTGGTGATTGTTTGCTTGTGTGTTTGTTTTCTTTTGCTTTTTTTTGTGAAGTTATCTTTATCCTGTGTTTTCTTGTGTGAAGTTGATCCCATTGGGTTGGACTTTTCCTTCTAGTATCTTCCACAAGGATTAGCTGCTGCATATGTAATGTTTATAGTTTTGTCATGGGATAGTTTGTTTTCTCCATCTATGTTGACTTAAAGTTTTGCTGGGTATAGTAGTCTGGGTTGGCATCTGTGGTCTCTTACTGTTTGCATGATATCTGCCCAGGCCTTTCTGGCTTTCATAATCTCTGTTGAGAAGTTGGTATGATTCTGATAGTTCTGCCTTTGTATGTTACTTGGCCTTTTTCCCTCGCCACTTTTAATATTTTTCTTTGTTCTGTAGATTTAGTGTTTTGACTATTATGTGGCAGGAGGAATTTCTTTTTTGGTTTAGTCTATTCGGTGTGCTGTAAGCCTCTTCTATGTTTAAGGGCATCTCTTTCTTTAGGTTGGGGAAATTTTCTTCTATGATTTTCTTGAAAATATTTTTTCGGACCTCAGAGCCTGGAATATTTTTTTCTGTCTATACCTATTATTTTCATGGTGTCTTTGATTTCTTGGCTGTTCTGTGTCAGGAAGTTTTCTTTTTTTTATGTTTTCTTTGAGCGATGCATCAATTTCTTTAATTGTACCTTCAATGTCAGTGAGTCTTTCCTCCATCAAGTCTTGTGTTTTATTGGTGATACTTACCTTTGTGGTTCCTAATCTCTTCTCTAAGTTTTTCAGCTCCAGGGTTTTCTTGTTTCATGTTTTCTTTATTGATTCTAATTCCATTTTCTTGTTTTGAATGATTTTATTCATTTCTTTCATCTGTTGGATTGTAGATTCCTGTCTGTTCATGATGGACTCTATTTATTTGTCTGTATTTCTTTGAGAAATTTGTTTGTTTCCTCTTCATGTAACTCTAATAACTTCATAATCATAGATTTAAGATCATTTTCCTGTATTTCAGCTGCATTAGAATAGCCATTGATTTTTGGAGATTTTGGTGAAGCCATGATGTCCTGGTTTTTGTTGATTGTGTTCTTACACTGGCCTCTAGCCATTAGGTTGCCCATAGCCTTGACTGTTTGTTCCTGGAGTCTGTACCGCACTGTATATGCCTGTCTCTGGCATCTGGAGTAGTCTTCAGGAATATGAAAGCTGTCTAGGGGCTCAAGAATGGGTGCTAGAGATTCTGATGCAGCTAAGGAAGAGAAAGCGCAGGCCAGGAGCAGTTGTCTTGAGGGGTGTGGCTCAAGCGCTGGAAAGAGTGCCTTGGAGAGCAAGGTAAAAGTTCAGGTGGGGGTGGGGATGCAGCTCACATGAACAGATGCCTTGATGGGCTATGGTAGGTGTCTCAGAAGGGAGCTGGGTTGCAGCTTACCGGCCTCCGGCCTGCGGGACTCTGTGCTTCTGCTACTTAGATTCGTCTGGGCTGTACCATCTTAGATTCACAATCTTGCACTTCTGTTGTTTGTCTGGTCTCCACAGCATGTCCAGCAGAAACATGGCTTGTATACGGGGAACACTGCCCCAGTAATCCTGAAGCTGCGGTCATATGGATGGGAGAGATCTAATGTCTGGGTGCTAGAGAGCAAGTTCCCTGGATCTGGGACTCTGCACTCACTAGTGTATGCGAAAATGCTGGGGGCAATGGTTTGCTACTCTTAGACCTGGAAGAAGGCCACAGTGGGCCTGGATTCAATTGAGCCCAAATATGTCAGGAATCCTAAAGCTGTCCTCAGGGGAGCAAGAGGAATCCAGCCTCAGGGGCTTGGATCCTATTGGCCCCAACTCTCACAGGATGTCCTCTCTAGTCTGGGAAGGCCCAAAGTCAATGCTCTGAATCCAGCTGACTGTCCACTCAACACTTTCAGAGTCTTGGATACTGTGCCCCTCAGATATTTGTCTCCATCTTGTCATTCCTCCTATAATTATTTTAAATACTTAGCACAAGCTTTGTCTATCTGAGTACAGATGTGGGAGGCCAGAGACCTTAGACAGTAAGGGTATTTGATGTGCAAGCATGAAAACTGAAGTTTTTATGTGTGCACTAATATAACAAGATAGGTGTGGTCACTCGTACTCCTTTGACACTAAAAGTGTGTGTGGGTTAGGGCTGTGGGATCCTGAGTTTTGATGCTTGCTGGCTGCAAAGGAATAAGGTGGAGCATTACAGAAGAGTACTCCAATATCCAACTCTGGCCTCACATACTTGCACAGGCACAGATATCTGTACACATATTTGCATAAACAACATACCAATATTCTATATACATAACAGACATAGTAATACATAAAGATTCATTCTCTTTATCATTCTTGGTCTCTTTTATTTCTCTGTCTATCTTGCTATCTCTGTCTTTTGCATACATACACAAACACACCCACTCCACACCCAATGAATGTTCTAGATGTAATATAGAAGAAATAGAGAGAATATGGCATTGCTTTAGCCAATAAATTCCTGAGTTTTGGGGATGCCCAAGAATTCTTATTTGCATATTGTTGCAGTCTGATTAAAAGCAATTTAGTTCTGCCAATTGCTTTTTAATCTTCTTGAGCTGAATTAAGCTTGTTCTATAAATAAAATGGGAATTTGGGCAACAACATTTAAAAAATATATCACCAATCTCATCATAGTGTTGTATTGTTCATTTTCTAAGTTGTATTCCTCAAATAGATTCCTCTCAAATATATGTATATATTATTATCATGTATATACATGTTTATATATTTATCAAATCCTATTTCAAAAAATTCTTCTTGAAGTCGTCAATTGTCTATCCCATTTCTTTTCACAGCTGCCTTTTTTTTCTTGTCCTCAAGTTATACTTTCTTCAGCTTATAACTCACATTAACTGCTACAGCAGATAGGGCCCATATACACATTCACTTCTTAGGTATTTTGGACAGTACTTATTGAAAAACAATTATTTTTTAATTATCATTCCATTAGATATGAGTCCCCTCACCATAATATTATGTGTCTCATTTTCCAAAGTTACTTTTACTATATTTTAAAAATAATATTTTATGGGTATGATGTGCTTCAAAATGAAAATTTTCTCCTAAACATTGCCACAAATGAGATGAATATAAATTAGTACTCTCTATCTCTCTCTTCTCCTTTTCAACAGCCTCCATCAAAAATCCACAATGTTCCCCTTTCCTGGCAAGACCAAAATAGCAATGTCTGTGTTTCTTCCTTGGGAACTTTTCCACTGCTTTTTGTGAAAGTCTAGAAAGACAAATCTCCTCGTAATGACTTGGACACCCAGGCAGTCTCTGTCAGTGGCTCCCATGAGCCACTTCTCCCTCAGAAAGACAAATTCCTTTATGTAGCTCAGCCGGAGGTGGGCCCTGCTGCCAGCAGTTAAAGTGCTGCTGGATGTAGAATGAGAATCAGCAGCCTAGTCTCCTTACTTAGGTTCATGTACTCCCCTGGGGAGAGCCCGGGGCTTGGGGTTCCTGAGAGGCAGGTGTACTGTATGGTTGTACTTGTATTCCCTTCCTCAGCTTTTTCCATAAAAAAAAAACACAAAACATTTTGTTTATAGATTACTGGTAGGAATTTTTATGATATGACAGTACATATTTAATTTTTTATCACAAATGTACTTTTAGTCATTTTATGGATTCCATATTCTTCTATAACTCTCAAAAATTTCTATGTGAATGAATAACTGTTCATTTAATGCTTGAGTCTTGGATTTTTGTATAATTGTAAATCAATAGATTATTTTCAGCTTGAAGTGAAAAGGGAAACTTTTGATTTATTAAGTGCTTTGGTTTAAAGAGAAAGTATTTTTCTTGAATTTTTCACCAAAATTTAATAGTGAACATTCCTATGGTGTTTCTTATCTAGAGCCTGGTCTGTTTTCTTGAACACACAAGACCGACTTCTGTTTTGTGTACAGCTCCACCAGAGAGCTGGTAAAGCCCAAACCAGAGAAATGAATCAATACATGCATGTACTACAAGAAGTTTCACTTTGACTTTGGAAATCTTTCAAATTATTACATCCAAACAAAATAATCAAATCTGTTAAAGATAAAGACAAATAGTCTTTCTTTGGCTCACAAATTCATTATATATCTATTTGAGATAAGATCTTTAGTCCTGGCTAGCTTGGAGCTTGCTATGAAGAAAAGGTTGTCCTGAGACTCATACAAATCCTCTTGCTTCTGTCTCCTGAGTTCTGAATTTAAAGGTTCAGTAACTTAGTATAAAGGTATAGTAAATGTCTATTTCATTATTATATGATATATTTTTTTTAAATTTGAGGTGTTTAAAGTTAGCATCCACTATTAGTTGTATATGTACATTAGTTTCCATGATATCAATAGGACCACATTAATTGTAATTTTGTTTTATTTCTAAAGTTATGTAATACCATGAATGACTTGTTATGCTTGGAGATATCAGACACTGAAATAAAAAGAATAAGAAATTTATGTACATATATGTACATAACAATTAATTTTAAAAAAGAAGACATGATTTTGAAATAGGGCAAGGAGAGGTATATGGGGGAGTTTTGAGGGGTGAAGAGAATAAAGAAATGAGTTATTATATTTTAATTTAAAATAATACAAGCAATTATTAAAATAGAAATGTCTGGCCTTGTGGAGTTCACACTCTACCATATAAGAGGGAAAAGGATAAAACCAGATCGTATTGTACATATAAACAACTTCATATTCTCTTGTCTTTATAACAGGTACCATTTCTGTCAATACACTACGCACTCCCTACACAGCTCCTGGTGAGAGTGAGATCCTGGACCTAGATGATGAGCTGTATCTGGGTGGCTTGCCAGAAAATAAGGCTGGCCTTGTCTTCCCCACCGAGGTGTGGACTGCTCTGCTCAACTATGGCTATGTGGGCTGCATCCGGGATCTGTTCATTGATGGCCAGAGCAAAGACATCCGGCAGATGGCGGAAATTCAGAGTACCGCTGGAGTGAAGCCATCCTGCTCAAGGGAGACAGCAAAACCGTGCCTTAGTAATCCCTGCAAAAACAATGGCATGTGCAGGGATGGTTGGAACAGATATGTCTGTGATTGCTCTGGAACAGGCTATCTCGGCAGGTCCTGTGAGAGAGGTAGGCTTTCAAAGTTCTACAATTCGTCCCCTGGAAGAAATGTGTACTAAGTATGTACTTCAAGCCTGAAATGAAACATAACAACTTCTAGTGAAGTAACACATAGTGAAAACCTGGACTGGACACAGTTTACTTAGGAGCCTTTAGTGATTTTCAAAAGGGGTTGTTTGTAGGCAGCCATAGCTCTGAATGTGTGTTTGAGCCTCTTTTGCTCACTTTTTAGCTGATTATGGAGGTACTTACATGCTTGATTTTAAGGCTTAGTTGAGTATATGCAGTCTCTGTACAGGCACCCTCCCTGAGAAAAATAAAGCTACCTGTTTTTCTCCTCCTCTTCGTTTGTAAGGAGAGGAATGAGCACTGAAAAAAGAATGAGGATAATGTCAACAGTTAGTCTGAAGACATGGTTCACAGAAAAAAAACATACCAGAACAAATAGTTGCAAGCATGTCCTTCCATCGATCCCGGGCTTTAGATGAATGGTTTAGTCACTATGCCCATTGTCACTTATTTTCTACAGTGAAACTAAAAATCAATATGAAAAAATATTGGTGAGTGGTTCCATTGTTCTTTCATGGTGCAAATAGCATTTCTTCCTGGGGTACTGAACCTAATCATTACCAGGTACTTCTCAAAAAGCCACACACAGTTACTTGTTTCACTTCAATCATAAAATAGTTCTAAATTACTTTGACCTAAAAGTTCAAGAGGAAAAGGTGGGTATTTATGGAATTCAAAATTAATATATGATTTTAATTTTTTTATCTTATAGTAATACACAAATAAATATTAACAAAATAACATAATTATATATTAAACTATGTATCAAAATACTATCACCATTCTGTGCAATAGAATTAGGCAGCTCAATAGATTGCTTCACAACATGTAGACACTGCCATTCCCCTTATGGTATTATCTGACTATTGTAATTCCAGTGAATTGACATTACAACCTAGCTATTCTTTCATACTTGTAAATTCCTCTTTGCTTTTCCTTCCTAATTAGTTTGTTTATTTTGGTTTTGGAAAACTGCCAAAAGGGAGGAACAAATGACATAGCTCACAAAGTAAAATATAGTTAGGCACAATGTGAGATTAGCTGACGTGTGTGAATTAAAATTTTGTTTTAATTTTACTCACTCAGAAAGATGCCAGTTATCCTGATGCCTCTTGGTTGAGTGAAGCCAGAGAAAGTGTGTAACTCTACTGTCAAATGAAATACCAAAACCTCCAGTTAAATATGCATAGTGTACCACCCTGTGGCAGTATTCTGCTACTACACGTGGCAAAATGAAACTAGAAATGACAGAGCTTTCTGAGTCAGAGGAAGAGAAAGGGAATATTTGTATACTGCTATGATTAGAGGTAGAAGTGGAAAGCATATACAGATTTCAAATAAAAATTTAAGAGCAAACACTGGGATTAAGCATACATTTTAAACTCATCCTTAGCTGGGAATTTTTGCAGCTTTGTCTCCTAGTTGCATTTTGAGGTTAAAATAATGATATCATGTTATTCTTGTTCTGGCTTACAACAGCATCTTGCAAGAAGTATTTTCTCTTCTTTATTGATGTTTTACCCACATGACTTTGCCTCTCCTGAAAGCAAGGGTAGTATAAAATGGTTTCCAGGTTCAATACCATAGAATGTGGCATCTGTCCAGTTCTCAGCTGGGCCCTAGCTCAGCAAACACAAGGTCATGCCTGGACCTCTGTGTTTCAAATTCCATTGGAATTTCTTGATTGTGTCTCCTCTCCAGATACACTCATACCATATTAGATTGTTGAACATGAAAACTGACTGGCAATTCTTGAAATAAAAAGACATTTATAAAATTCTCGGTTTTAACATCCAGAATAAATTGTAATAATTATTATGTGCACACCGCATCATAGAGAATCATGCTGCAGTTATGCTAATGCCACATTATTTGAGCCAAAAAAAATACATAAGGAAAGTAGTTGTGACTTAAACAGGAAGATAAGTTTTTATACATTAATTAATTCTTTAAGAAAGACTAATACAGAAATTATGTCGTGCGTAGATAATAAATGTTGCATTTTCTTTATGTGTCATTTTTAATGCAACAAGTTTTGAAGGTTAGATCACTTAAAAATTATTCTTAGGGTAATGTGAAATAAGAGCATTGGTGCAATTAGAGGTCCACTTTATACTTGTTTGTTAAATTCTAACAGATGGAGGGGCAGATGTCAGAGCAGTATAATTTGGCTCTCTGTCTGATTTTCATCGTTGATCACAATATGTGACTGCCTTTCTGAAAAACTAAGCACAGGTGTACACTTTAGGTTGCAACAAGGAATAATGCAGAAAAGCAAATTTATCAAACCTAATGACATGGATGAAGGAAACAGAGACAGCAAAATTGAAATTGTTTTCCTTCCCCATTGGGAAGCAATGTCTTATAATTATTCTTCTAAAGGATTATTTTTTGTTGTTCCAAGTGATAAAATAATTTTTGCAAAATGTTGAAAGATTCTGCCAAATAGCAGAACTTTCCAATGTCAGAATGTTGCCTAACATTTATTTGGCAGTACTAGATTTCAACCTTGTGCATTTTCCATTTCTTGTCTAATTAAACATCAGCCCTAATTATGAGGAGTCATTTAAGCTTTTGGTTGTCATTTATCAACAAGTTATCTTCACATTGAGAATTGTCTGAAATGGCACATGGGGGCACTCGAGGTTTATTACCTTACTATTATGCCATTCCTGAAGCTTTTTGGAGAACAGTGAATGCTAACGAGCTTGTTTTTTCCCCTACTCTGGATTGTACTTCATAGCAATTTTATGACTAATTGTTAATTGTATATTTTTAAAAAGATGTGTTCAAACTGAGCAATTTTTAAAGAGAAAATGAAGTTATTTAAAATATGATTATAACACAACAGAGTAGTCATGCATATTAATTAAACAAAATAAAACTAATAATAGTTTAGTCCTTTTATCTATATGGTAGCAAAGTAACAAAGCAATCTACAATGGATTTATTACTTTTATTGAGCTATTTGTTGCTTTGCACGATTGACCAAAGATTAGAAAAGGGAAAAAAAAGTATCAAATTTAACTTAAAGTTATTCTAAAACCCTTTAGAGCTCACTATGACTTTATGCTCATGTTTTAATTGTTTCTTAGGCAACTACTGCCTGGTCATCTGCATTGACTTATGGCTTTTACAACATTGTCCCATGGAGAAACTTCCTATTTCATTTGAAAACTTGATGATACAAGATAATGTCATATATTATAATATTATATTTTATGTTCTCAGCAATTAGGTCTAGGCCTAACAACAGGGCATTTAGATAAACAAAACCGTTTTTTTGTCTAAGCTTCAAATTAGAGTTGTTTTTTGTTTTTGTTTTTTTTGTTTTTTGTCAGACATTATCAAACTTGATTGTTCTGTTAGTAGACATAATAAATGCTTCATTGCTCTGGGGAATGCTTGTACAAGCTTCGTATCCACATGAAGAAAAGATCTTTCATGTGCTTTCAGTGTAGATTGCAGTTGCTAATTCAAAAAGCATTTATGCTGCCTCTGCTGGGTCTGGCTCCATCATTTACTGGTGCCAGAGTGGGAGCAACTGATCTACTTCCTCCAGGTACTTTCAAAAGGGAAGTTGCAAATGATACCACCCAAACAAATGAGTAATTGCAATTGGAAAAAATGAGAGATGATAATTCAGTATGGAATAAGCTGAGGAGGGCACCATATTGTCCAAAAGAAGATTTCACTGAAATCCAGACATCCAAAGGAAACAAACATTAATAGATGCAGGTTGAGAAATTTCCAGATACAGGCATATGTGAGTGCAAGTGATTCAATAATGGATGGACCTGGAATGGTAACAGACTAACTGGAGGGGATGACGATAAAAGCTGAGGACAGAGGAGATCCAGTTACAATAGAAAAATGGAGATGTGATCTAACCCAAAGAATGATCTAACAGAGAAGGTTTCCCTGTATAAGGGCTTAACTTGGCTGCTATGTGCAGAAAGAAAGAGTAGGCATAGCTATACCACATAGATAACTATTTTAGCTATCTAAATAAGATGACAGAGATTGAAATAGTTTCGTAATGAAGACAAAAGGCAAGCAACTAAGGCAAAGGATTATAAATGTGACAAAAGGCTGAACAACAGTGAAATAGTTGGGTTGCTTTTGGACAGTAATGTAAACATCACTTGCTGAGATGGAAGGGGTTGGAATAAGTTTTTTTGGGAAAAGATGAATTCAGAATGGGTTTTTAATTCTATTTTAAGTAGAGTTGTTAAATAGGCAGTAGATGAAGGAGTCTCTTCTCAAAAGGTCTAGGAAAGAGAGCTCGCATGTTGCTGAAGATCCACTAATGCAAGTCTGGGTGGAAATGCAGAGTATGGGGGAGCAAGTCCTGGAAACATGCAGCACTTAGAGAGTCACATTTCATGTTCCCGCCTTGAATAAAAACAAATCAAAAAATCTTGTAGGAAGAGTATTGGACTGTCCTGACTTTCTGAAAGATAAACTTTGAAAGCCACACCAGAATATAATCTTAATAATGAGCAAAAGTATAGCAGTAAAACCAATGGTTATGCTGTGTAAATATCCATAATAATGACATTTTATTTTCATTCCAGAACGTTTTTTTCTTTTTATTAAATGACAGTTTGAATTACCAGAAGCAACAAGAAAGCAACACGGCTCATACTTTTTTCACAATATTCCACCACCGTATGGGTAACACAATATTCCACAGAGGGGTGCTGGTCCCTAAGCAGTCTGTAATCAGCAGTTTGGCTACTAATTTCATGTGGTTAATATCATGTTTCCTTCTACTTTAAGTTAGAAATACACCCACGCAAATCCCTAGTCCTAGCTCCACCCCTATTCCTTGTATAGAGTTAGAGATGTTTTGGGGGTAATTCAAAATTTAGGACATCAGCTTTGTGTTTATAGATGATATTTTAAATTATTTGTTTGCTAAGAACACTTAAAATAATTACAATTTGAGGTATCTTAAAAGTTGGGCTCATTAAGTACAGTAACACAGTAGAACCCTGATTGCTTACTTGATGATATGTTGTTAACATTTTCTGTTTTGGAATATTAGCTTTGATAGAAAGGGTTGATTTCTCTATTTTAATAATATTTCCATTTTGGAGTAGATGTTATGAAAAAAATATTGATAGTAGCCTCTGTTCTTATGGATTTTCCAGACAGTCCTGGCCTTAGATATCTTCCCGTAACACTCTTGCTTTTTTTTTTTAAAAAAAAAAATTATTTATTTATTCAATTTGCAGCCCAATCATAGTCCCCTCCCTCCTCTCCTCTCTGTCCCACCCTTTCTCCCTCTTTCCTCTATCTCCTCAAAGAAGGGAGACCCCCTACCAGCCCACCCCAGCATATCAATTCACATCAGAACTGAGCACATCCTCTTCCTCAGTGGCCTGGCAAGGCAGCTCCACTTTGATCGAACACAGGCAACAGAGTCCTTGTCCGAGATTGTTCCTGCTCCCCTTACTAGGAAACCAACATGAAGATCAAGCTTCCTATTGGTTCATATGTGTAGGGGGCCTAGGTCCAGTCCATGCATGGTCCTTGGTTCTTCAGTCTCCACAAGCCCCCCTGTGCCCAGGTTAGTTGCTCTGTTGGTCTTCTATGGAGCTCCTGTTCCCTCTATCTTCCCCCCTCCTCTTCCACAAGCCTCCCTGAACTCCACCCAGTGTTTAACTGAGTCTCAGCATCTTTCCAGTCCATTTCTGATGGAGCCTTTCAGAAGACCGTTATGCTGGACTCCTGTCTGCAAGCATAGCAGTGTGTTGTTAATAGTGTCACTGGTTGGCTCTCCTCCTTGGTGTGGGTCTCAGGCATTGGTGTGGCCAGACATTGGTGTGCTAATTGCTCAATCTCTGCTCATTCTTTATTCCTGCACATCTTGTAGGCAGGGAAAATTTGGGTCAAAGTTTTTGTGGGTGGGTTTGTATTCCTCTCCCCCCACTAGGAGTCCTGTTTGAGGGTGGCTTCTTCAGTCTCTATGACCCCTGCTACTAGGGTTTTCACCTAGAGTCACCCCCATATCTTCCCAGGAGTATACCCTGTCATAGGTCTCCAGCTTGTCTCAGAGATGCCTCCACCCACAATTTTGTTTCTCTCTTTAAGCCCCCTGTTCTCCTGCCTCGGCTCTCCCTCCTGTCTTGGTATTTAGCTCATGAAGAGTCAATCAGAGCCAAGGAAAGGCTGACTTATGGAATGTCGGGGCTCTCACTGTCCATACACATATCCATCATTGCAGTGTTTCCAACCAGGTTTTCACTGTAGCTATTCAAAACAACATGATCTATGCTTTTTAGAAGGGAAATGCTCATTAAACATTTACAGCCCCATATGGTCAATGCTATAGGATACGAATTAGGTAGAGGAACTTTCTGGGTGTTAGTACATACTTGACAAAAGGAATCCCTGCTAGGATGTTCCTTGCCATTAGAAAACAAGCAACTCATTTCTGAATCAGACAAGCTGATTTTACCCTTGATGTCCTGTCAAGAATACTTTAGCAGACTACTGTTTCCCGAGTGTATGTGCACTATACTAACCAAAACTGAACTGAATTTTTTTTCCTATAGAGGCAACGGTTTTGAGCTATGATGGGAGTATGTTCATGAAAATCCAGCTCCCGGTGGTGATGCACACTGAAGCTGAGGATGTGTCCTTACGGTTCAGATCCCAGCGTGCGTATGGTATTCTGATGGCAACCACTTCTAGAGACTCAGCGGATACCCTTCGACTGGAACTAGATGCGGGACGTGTGAAACTCACGGTCAATCTAGGTAACAACATGCCTTCCGCCATTAAGCTAACACTTCTCATTTTTTTGTTCAGTTTTGCCTGCAAACATTTATCAATTAGCCTGTTTGCTATGGAAAGTTAAAACAATTGATTAATGCTTTAGTGGGCATCACTTTTTCTGTTCAACGTAATCTAGTGTTTTGTGATTCCTACCAACAAGGGTTCGGAGAAGCCCTATCAGTGAGATGAAATTGAAAACTTTGAATTCATAATTCAAAAGGCTTTAAAATGCCTCAAATTGGATTTTTCTACTATCACATTTTCTGATGTTCTAATCGGTGATAGGTGATACCTTAACAACAAAAAAAGTTTACATGTGTTAGATAGCATGCACATGAAATATTCGATTTATACTTTGATATCTAGACCAACAGTTGTTGCTACTTCCTCCATGGGCTTCTCCTTTGAAAAATCATCGTTATGGTCCTCCATCTCCTCTGTTTTGAAGTACTGTGTGGGATATTTTGCTGTCATTCAGCGATCCACAACCCTTCAATGCCCAAAGTCTGCGGCCCTCAGCAAACAGCCATGAGAACAGTAAGGACACAGGCTCCTTTACAGAGAGATAATGCTTTCCTGATTAAAGGTACCATCAAAATGGTTGCTACAGTAAAACCTCACCCACCTAGATGAATTATGGAGTCAAAAAATCAAACTAACAAAAACAAAACAAAAGAAAAAAAAACCCAAAACATTGAATTGTAGAATTTTAAAAATTGAGCACTTTATTATTGTTCAGTTAAACTTAAAACCTGAAATCGCTAAAAGCTTCAAAATCTTGTGAAGCGATGGGCTTAGAAGTTTATTGCAGTGAATGGAGAGAAAACATCCCTCCTTAAGGAGATCCCTGGTGCCTGCAATTTCTGCTATCAACCTCTCCTGAATACTTGAAGTTAGTTTTCTACCTGAGCTTTGCCTTTCAAAATCTTTGTTATTCATGGCTCAGCAACCCAAGAATGTGAACCAAATGAAGATTTAATATTCTGCCAAATAAATTTTAATATTATCATTAAATCCAAGTAAGTGAAAATGAATGAGGTTTTACTGTAGTTCATGAAGTATTAAATACAGAAACACACAAAGACACCGCACACACACATGAATCAGGAGAGGGAAAAAAAAAACAACAAATTTTGAAATCATGTAGATTTGTTTTTAGAAATATGGTAAGAACAAAATAACATGTGACATTTGTGACAATCCTACATACATTTTCAAATTGTGATGGGTAGGATATTAGCTCATAAAATACAAAAGTAACTCTTGTTAGTTTAGTGGATTTAATTATTACATTCAATTAATATAAATAAAATTAAGTTTGTTTAAAGAATTTATGGCTCTATTAGAGTTCCCTCTAGTGACAATGATAGGTTACTACAAGAAAATGGACAAAAAGGCTGAATTGCACTAAGAGGCTGATAGCTGGAAATGAGAACTCGAGAGAGAGTATCACCAGCAAAGCATTCTGTAGAAGGAGTTGTGTAGCTGCTGGTCCTTGGCTGTTTGCAACCACTTTTCTGATGCGGTTGACGACACATGACAAACTTAGCTATATGGACACAGAATCTAGGTTTATATTTTCCATGCTCCCCAAAGGCATTAATATAAATATAAACCAAACATTCCATGTAGATTTATAAAAATAATCACTGTATTGTCCACACCAGAAATCCTGTTTTTATATCTGCTTTCATGTGAGGAGAGCACATAAAAAAGGAAAGTCAGGAACATAGAGTTAACTGTGACACTCAATGCACAAAATTAACATTAGTAGCCTATAAGGAAGGCACAGGCCAGTGTGCTCCCTAGGATGGCTCCACAGCCATTGTGGTTTCTAAGGGTCCATGCAACTTTTCCTTTTCTTCTTCTGTGAATACATGGTGTGGAATCCACCAATATCTGGTTATAAACATTTAGTGAGCCAGAACATCAAAATCAAAAGAGTAATATAAAAAAAAGTAGGATGAAAAAAGAAAAATTTTATTTTATTTTTCCATGTGACTACAACTGCAGTTGTAAATAATTTTGTTGGCCTTTGTGGGATATTAGATTTCAGAAGTCCAAGATGTCTGAGCCTAGCTGAGCTTGCGCTGTACCCCATTGTGACGGAGCACTTTGTACTTTTGCTGAGAATAATAGCATGTTCTTTCACATATGGGGAGAATGTTGCAACCAGTCTAAGCCAAACATCTTTGACAGTTAACTACTTGTTATCTCACTTAGATTTGTCACCATGTAGCTCTGTTTGAGTTGGCCATATTTTTAAACATTCTCTTATTTCCAATAGTACAATTTCGTAACAATAAATCTGGGTTCTAGAATTATATAAATAATAGTGATATGGAGTGGCCAAATTTGCATGTGTCTGTCCCCGGAAGGGTGGACTGTAATTTTATTGGATGTCTGCAGCTGTTACCTTGAAGGATAAATATTCATTTTTCATCTATTCTTCCCCATCTAGATTGTATCAGGATTAACTGTAATTCCAGTAAGTGCCTATTCAAAATTTTTAAACTGTTTTTCCTCCATTACAATGTAAGCTAGTCAAGGAAAAGAGAGAGAGTAAGAGAAATGTATTTATAAACTCATGATCTCACCTTGAAACATAACCAGTCCATCATCTGGGGTGTAAAAATTCATTTTATATTTAATCCAGCCTAAAGGGTTTTCCATTGTAGTTCCTGCTCCTGTGTGGGAAAGTGGTGGCATATATTTTGAAACAGAAGACATAGATGTCTATAGAGGCCATCAGATAATGAATTGTTATTTGGTCAGATCTTGGAGTCCAGTAGTTTCTTTCATAATTAAATAGAAAAACACACTGTGGGTCTTAGTTTCCTATCCCTTAATTCAAATATATAAAAGAAATGTTTATCTTATCTTATTTTGAGAATTCTTAATCATTCTAAATTCATACAAAGTTTTACATTTTTGTATATATTGTGGAAGGCACAACATTCTTCACTATTATACATTCTTAGAAAATTATGAATCTGAACAGTACATTCTTGATTATTAAGAAAATTTATATGAATTTTTACATCCTGATTATATATCTACAAAAATACCTAAAATCATTCAAATATTTGATATGCATGCCAAATGGTGAGTCAGAAAGATGCATGGACTGAGTTTTATTTTAACTTTGAAGGAGATCAGAAAGGAAGCAAGGACTGTGGTTTTATTTTGAGCACTAGCATTAGGTAATAAGTAAATTGATTCCAATTCTCGATGTGAATGTTTAGATTTTTCTTTTCCAGGTTTTGCTGACCACATAAAGAGAGCTCTTCCAATGACCACAAATTCATTAGCTATTTAATAAAATGATTCTAACGATCCTCTAATCTCTCATTGACATAGTAAGATTCTGGTCTGTGGCCCTTGAAGAAAGCTGCCTGTGCATTGTTGGGACTCCTGAAATATTTGGTTGTGTTTCCAAAGGGCAACAACTCATTCTCTGAGGGGAAAAAAGCAAAAGCAAAATAACTTGTCTAACCAATGCATATTATTGGATAGTCTTGGTTTTGAATACAAGCAATTCATATTTGTCCCCATGTGGGGTAATATTTTAAGCAAAAAGGTGAGTCTGATAAATCATTAAATAAACTTTGAATTATAACCATGACAAGCACTTAAAATTATCACAAACAAAATAATTCCTAAAATTATTTCTCTGAGCTTTAAGACAAATGTAATTTCAAGTATGCATCATCTTCTCTCCACTCATTCTCTTGGATGCCTCCTGAAAAGAAATTTTATAGGTTTTTTTCTAGGCCTGACACCTGGGTGGCCAGCAGTGCAGACAGAGGCAAAGTGAAGGCCCAAAAAGTACTCTCTTCAAAGGCAAATCTGTCCCTTAATGCCAAGCTACGGTCTACTGATTCTTACTGACTTGTAAAAAGTTCCTGTGGGGAAGATATTCCTTTCTAGACCTCCACCTTACCTATTCCTATTCTTTTATTTGTATTAAGCACAGAAATAACACATTAACTTTTAACTTTATAAAAAGAAAAATGTGCACTCTGAAAATTAATGGAATTCACCAAGTCAAATGTGATTTTCTGTTTTTAGCTGCAATTACTTAGAACATGTGTTGAGTATGTATTAGTCTTCTTAGACCCAAACTTTCTTTGTCTAATAAAAGTCTGTGATACTATGGACAGTTTTTCTCCATACTTTGGATGTTTCATAGAATAATAACTTTGAAGACAAATATTTTCACTGGTTAGTGATTTTTTTTAAAGTAATATAAGTTACACTTGAATGTTTGAATTAAATTAATGGATTGCAAGCTTTTTGTGCACAGTTCGTACAGGACTGCAAATGCCTTAGCTTGACTTTAGCCATTGGAGGAAACATTCAAGAACCAGGTAATGTTCCCATTTTCTTTTGCCTTTGTTTTATTTGGGATGCAATGGACAGATGTAGTGAGTTTCATAAAATGAGTCAAATTTGAGGATGGTCAGGAATTTACATATCTAATAATATTCATCTATTGTCACCTGATGTGCACTTTTAATTATGAATAATTTTATCTCATTCTAACTTCAAAGAACAATTAATTGTGTAGAACTTTTGTGAGCCATAGCTTATCTGACACTCTGACAATTAATATACATTTACAAAGTCACATTTGCATAACATCACTGTCTTGACATATTAATATGAAGCACTTTACTTGATATGTTTTAAGAAAACCAGCACAGGAACTTAACGGACTATAACAAAAAAAAGTTTTTCACACATTAAGAAAGTAGATTAAATAGAAGACATCTGTGATACATTTATGTCTATTTCCTTAGAATTGCTCTGCAGTCTCTAGAGTATACCCTTATATCCTCTTTTCTGGGTTTATAATCTCTACCCTTCATCAGGAGAAGAAAATATGTCAGTGTCTCATTTTCCAGTTTTTGACAGTGAAACCTGCTGAGTAGAGAAGAGGACCTAACTGTGTGTTTTCAACTCTTCCCTATAAGACACCCCTGGTATGTTTCTTTACCAGTCCCACTTTGCTAGTCTTGATGTATCTCTAGAAGCTTCCTTAGCAGGCACACCAGGTTTCCTCTGAGAGATGACAGAATTAAATCCCAAGAATTTCCTTGTGGCCACTAGATGGTAAAGGATAAGTGTCCCAAACCAACCTCAGTTCACTGGCACATCTTTGCTGATATCAGCATGAAAATGTATTTAATATTTACAACTTTGAAAACTCATGTGCTGAAAGATAAACACAAGCATCACTGATGCCCATCATCCTCTGCTCAGAATAAAGGGCAGGAAGATTGTCCTGTCCTTATTTCCTGCATTGAGGAAAACAGATCATCCTGTGTATCAGTGCCTCTTTTGTTATGATAAGCACCATGACCATAAACAGCTTATAGAGAGTAGAATATATTTGGGCTTGTAGCTCCAAAGGAATGAGTCCATTATGACAGAGAGGTATGAGAGCAGGCTGCAAAGATAGTGAAAGAAACAGGAATCTGAAAGCTCACATCTTCACACACACAAAGACTTGGAAGTGGTAGGAGGCTTTAAGCTCTCCAAACCAGCCTCCAGTGTCATACTTCCTCAACCAACTTCCATAATCTCTCAAATATTGCCTCCAAGTGAGTGTTCAAATGCATGACTTGGAGTGGCCACTTCCAAGTCAAACATTACAAGTCTAGATGCAGCTCTATTGTTTTTTTCAATAGTTTTTGTTTTTCCATGCTAGTGGCATAATTACAGATGTTCTTGCCTACAAGAAGACATGAGCCACTAGAACAACAGATTGTGTGTGTGTGTGCCAATGTGTGTGTGGTTGTGTGTATGTGTGTATGGAGGGTGCTGAGGAGGGAGGAAGAGAGAAATGGACAGGGACACTGGATAGACACAGAGACAGAGTCAGTGCAGACACTTGCAAAGGCTAAGGGTTAATGCTAAGTCTCTTTCTCTATGATTTTCTACCTTACTTTTTGAGGCAAAGCCTCTCTCTAAACCTAGAACTCAATGACTGGGTAGACCTACTAGTTGTCAGTGACCTAACTGGAGAGATCCAAGTCCCAGAACAGACACTATAAGCATTACTGCAGCAACCAGGTTTGTTTGTGCATGCTGGAGACCCATGCTCCGATTCCTCATGCTGGCCTGCAAATGCTCCATTCACTGAGCTGTTCCTCTACCCCAGAAAGGGATTTGAATATGTCTATGGTTCAGCTTTGCTTGCTTTCATTTTTCTTTATTTGTGCTTTGTTTGTCTTCTCTCCTTCCCTAATCTTTTTTCCTTCCTACTCTTTCTCTCTCTCTCTTTCTTTCTTTCTTTCTTTCTTTCTTTCTTTCTTTCTTTCTTTCTCTCTCTCTCTCTCTCTCTTCCTTTCTTTCTTTCTTAACTCTAATGTGGGTTTCTCTTGTTTATGTACGAGAATAAAACCTCACTGGGTTAAAGCTTTTGTAGGCATAACATTCGATTCATTTTGGCTTATTACAGAAAGTGATTTATATAAGGTGCTTAAACAACACACTTGAAGACAACATTAACATGGACAAAATGTCAACAGTTGAAGTTCAAAAGTCTTTTTACAACACAAAGCCCAAGTCCTGGAGACAAAGAAATCTAAAGCCACGTACTTAACCTCACTTTTAACTTGAAGAGAGATAAGCAACATTTTGAGCAGCATTATTATTGGAAAATGTACTTTGATGGATGTCTGGGGTAGATAATAAGATCTTTGTATTATCATTTTATTACCAGAATGAAAAGATCAACTGGATATTAGTTATCATCAATTTTTCTATGTAGATAAAAATGGAAAGCAATAAAAGAATGCAAAATGTCAACCTGAGGCACTTAAGCCATTTTAGATTGCTGTGATCAAACTGTCAGTTGGAATGAAACTCACAAAGAGAGCAGTGCATTCTGGGGGTTGGTATAAATTAGTAAGGAGTTGGATGGTCCCTGCAGAGGAAAAATCTTTAGAAGGCAGTTTTCTGCTTCTTCTCCCAACATTGGAGTTTATAGTTTGTAATTGTCACAAGTGACTTATGTTGTCTACCATGTCAGATAGATGACACTCTGAATTAGCTGATGAAAAGAAAAACAGAATATTTATTGTTATTAACTGAATGTATGTACAAAGGAAAGATAATAAACAGGTTCATGAATTATTATTTTTAACAAAACATTAAGAGTAATTGAAAACGAAACATAGAGGGAAAACTATAGGTTTTTTTTTTTTAAAAGAAAATCAGTAACTGAATAAGGAGAGGGTTTTGAATATAGTCACCAATCTAGACAAACATGAAAACTTCAATGGAATTTAAAAGACGCTGATTTGAGTCACCTGCACATTTAAACTTGAGAAGGAAAGAATGAAGTAAGCACCCTGCCTGAGTGTTTACTGCACAGATAGACAAAGCCATGAGTAGATGTGGGACTGAAGGTAGAAGACCCTGGTCTAATGTCACAAGTCTCCTCACTGCTCAGAGCTAGAAAGCTGTAGTGTTCCGGGG